GCTGTTGAAAGGTATAAGGCCCGACTGGTTGCAAAGGGTTTTAGTCAAAAAGAGGGCTTAGATTACTCAGAGACTTTTTCTCCTGTTGCCAAAATGGTTACCGTAAGATCAGTCTTGGCTGTGGCTGCTGCCAGACATTGGTCTGTGTTTCAAATGGATGTGCACAATGCATTTTTGCAGGGTGATCTTCCTGAGGATGTCTATATGGTTATACCACCTGGTTTTTGCAGACAGGGGGCGACTGGCAAAGTCTGCAAACTTCACAAATCCTTATATGGTCTAAAACAGGCACCAAGACAATGGAATCTTAAACTAACTGAAGCTTTAGTTCAGTTGGGATTTGTTCAAAGCCATTATGATTATTCCCTTTTTACCAAGAAAGTAAATAAGGAGTTGATAGTGGTGCTTGTGTATGTAGATGATCTACTTGTGACTGGCAGCTGTAGTAACTTGATTGTGCAGACTAGAAATGATCTTAAACTCAAGTTCAAAATGAAGGATCTGGGAGAACTAAAATTCTTCCTTGGTATTGAATTTGCTAGGTCTAAGGAGGGGTATGTAATGAGCCAGCGCAAGTATGCCTTGGAGTTGATATCTGAGATGGTTTAAGTGGAGCCAAACCAGTGTCTACACCTCTGGATCCTAATCTTAAGCTAACATCCATTGAGTATGATTTACACGTGCAAGGATCAGGAACTACTATATCAGACAGGCCCTTAAAGGATGTTGGCAGATACCAAAGATTAGTGGGAAGGTTGTTGTACTTAACTATGACCAGAGTTGATATCTCATTTGCAGTACAGACATTAAGTAAATTTATGCATGCTCCTAAAGAATCCCATATGGAAGCTGCTCTAAGGGTGGTCAAATATATCAAGACAGCTCCTGGACTTGGTTTGTTTATGCCTGCTCAAAGTTCAGAACTTCTGACTGTATATTGTGATTCAGACTGGGGTACTTGTGTACAAACAAGAAAGTCTGTAACTGGATATTTAGTAAAATTTGGAGATGCACTTATCACCTGGAAATCAAAGAAGCAAGAGACTGTTGCCAGAAGCTCTGCTGAAGCTGAATTCAGGAGTATGGCTTCAGCAGTTGCAGAAATAACTTGGCTAATTGGAGTGTACAAGGAACTAGGGGTGACTATCAAACAACCAGTGGATCTATTCTGTGACAGCAAGGCTGCAATACAAATTGCAGCCAATCCCATTTTTCATGAAAGAACTAAACACTTTGACATTGATTGTTACTTTGTGAGAGAAAAACTAACTCAGGGTATGATTAAGACTCATCATGTATCCACCAGAGATCAGTTAGCAGATCTTCTTACAAAAGGGTTATGGAAGGCTCCTCATCTGCACTTAATGGCCAAGCTGAGTTTAAAAGACATCTTTCAGCCATCAGCTTGAGGAGGGGTGTTGAGCATAGTGAGACTGAGGAACTGTTATATGAGTTAGTTAGGATGAACAGTAAATGTCATGAAGTTAGTTAGCTGTTAGTTACTAGTTAAACTGTGGTTAGTTTATAATTAACTAGACTAGATGGTTAAAGTAGATCCAATTATACACACTATATATAGTGGTGTAGATATTTTGTAAAAGATAATTCTGTACAGAATATTCAATACATTTTCTGTTTCTCTTCTTCTTAATCACTGCTCTTCACATTCTTATCATTGTAGTAGTGAGAGTTTTGCTACTCTGGTCATCAAGACACATTCTTATCATATTCGACCTATTTCATAACAATACTAACTAGGAAAAATATTGTCAGCAGAAATAGTAAGGGTAATTAATGTAAAAGAAACAATAGTAGTACGACTAATGAAAAATGAGGTAATGGCAGAAAAGTACTATTTCATAATAATACTGGTAAGGAGGAGAGAGAGAGAGAGAGAGAGAGAAGATAAAGTGCTCTAAACTAGAACCATTCCCCCGACCTAAATGCAAGAAATGGCTCAACTTCCTACTAATTCTCGACCCCCATGCTCTCTTGCCTAGGGTCATTGTCTTGATGAGCTGAAGGTGTGTCATATCTTGTCTAATAGCTCTTTCTCAATTCTTGTTCGATCAGCCTCTATGCACCTTCTCACTTGGCCTATCGCTAATAACCTCTGCGCCCGTCCTCTTTACATGCCTGAACCATCACAGTCTCATTTACTGCATCTTATCCATCACAAAGGTCACGACCACCTTAGCCCATATATCATGGTTCCTAATCTTGTCTCTCCTAGTATGCCCAAAAAAAAAAAAATCACTCCTTTTTAGCTAAAATTCACATATTTGTCTATTAACATAAAGTTTGATTACTCAACAATCTCTTATTTAGTACTCCATTCAAGATCAGTTCCAAAGTTTCGTACTTTAGTACTAATCCTTTTTTAGCCTAAATTCTTGAACAAGTATCAAAGCAGTATCTGGTTATCTCACACAAAAAACACTACTTTTTGGCTAACCAAGGTGTTACTAGTATAGAATCAAATACATTGAATTAGACACTTACACGGGCATCACGGACTTCAATGACAAAATCGGAGAGTTTGAGCCGGCGGCGAATGGCACGATTAGCAGCATCCATATGACCAGGGAACCAATTAATGTTTCCGCCATTTTTGTTGAAACCCATTTGCCCTATCCATCCTTTCATCTGCACCATCAATTTGAATTTCGATTTAGGTCTTCTTCGCTTAAAATCAGACCATTTGAATCAACTAAAATATATTAAGAAACCAAAATGAAAACGGGAGGATAAGGGAATTTTTGGACCAATGTTTCTTTCCCATAGTTTAGCATTTTTGAATCAAAACATTGACGGTAAGGACATTTTTTAGCCAAACTATGAATCGAGACGTTTTTGCTCCTTTCACATAGTGTAAGGACATTTTTGACTTTTTTCCCTTTTAATAGAGTATTATCCATTTATTAAGGACCATTTTGGTCATTTTCATTTGAGCTAATTGTTATACTGGTGTGAGTGTTTCCTTTTCTTTTCAGCATTGTTTGGTACTTGGTTAGAGTTATTATTCCCTCCGTTTCAAAAAGAATGGTCTCCTTTTCTTTTTAGTCTGTTTCAAAAAGAATAACCCATTTCCTTTTTTGGTAACATTTTACTTTCAACTTTTCACGTGACATGTTTAAGACCACAAGATTAAAGGGCAATTTTGTACATTTGACATAACTTTAATTTAGGGCCACAAGATTCAAAAGTCTTCTTTATTTTCTTAAACTCCGTGCCAAGTCAAAGTAGGTCACTCTTTGTGAAACGGAGGGAGTATGAATTAGTTATACATGTATGAATTATAAATGTATAAGGTATTAGTTATTCCATATTCGATGTTGCATAAATTATACATCTCTTGTAATTTATATATGTACTAGTTATGCGGATTTTTAAATTGTCAATCAAAAATCGTATTAAATTTATAAATGAATAATTTATTTCTTATCTATCCATCTACCAACATCTTATAAGCTATATAAAATTAAAAGCAAATTTTAGGAATAACAAATATAAAAATCACAAGCGTTTGATAGCTACAGTTTTCCTATTTGCGCTCCATAGCAAACTAGCATTTAATTTGTATATATCGCAGACATCTTATTTGTATGAAATTGCAACAATTGTATATGTATATCGATTAGAAAATTGTATATATGCAACTACTATGTATATGTATTAATGATTGTGTTTGTATATCTGCACAAATTTTGAATTTGTATACAATTGAATCGAGTTAAAACATTTGTTATTTGTATATCAAATCTCTCTCTCGCTTTATACAGACACAAATTATACATTGTATTTTTGTATAATTTGTGTTTGTATAAAGAGAGAAAGAGTTAAAGGCAAAAGAGAACTGGGCAGGGGAATATTTGTATTTGTATAATTATAAGTGTATAGGACGAAGATATATGTATTTGTATTTGTATATACAGTTCTCTCTCACTTTATACAAACACAAACACAATTTATAGATTTGTGTTTGTATGAAGTGAGAGAGGCGAGCCAGAGAGTGGCGAGCGAGATTCAGGAGAGAGAGGCGAGTGACAAAAAGTTTGTTGCGAATTGGAATTAAATGAAACTGTAGCTATAACATTTATTTTGAATTAATAGTTTGTTATAATACATAATTTTCCCTAGAATTAATACTTATATAAGTTGTTTCTTATCCAGCTACCAAAACGATTCATTTATGGTTTGAGGCCGAATGGGCTATTCCTAGTATTTGGCAATTCTCCTTTATTTAAATGAGGAAATTTCGCAAATAGCCATTAAAATAAATTTAATTATGTTTCATAGTTACAATTTGCTGATTACGATTCGTAGCTACATGTTAGAGGGAGGAAAAATGCAAGCGAGATTGGGAGACAAAGGAGAGAGGCCAGCAAGAGAGGGTAGAGAGTGGAGAGAGGCGAATTGTATATGTATATATGTCAAATTGTATATGTATATATGTAAGATAATTGTATATATGTAACTGGTATACATATGTATTTGTATATCATGCGAGCAAGATTGGGAGAGGGTGGAGAGATGTGAGCTAGAGAGGGTAGAGAGTGGATAGAAGCGAATTGTATATGTATATATGTAAGGTAATTGTATATATGTAACTGGTATACATATGTGTTTGTATATTTGGCGAGGGAGATTGGGAGAGGGAAGAGAGAGGCGAGCGAGAGAGGACAGAGAGTGGAGGGATGCGAATTGTATTTGTATATATGTCATATAATTGTGTATGTATAATTTGTATTTGTATATATTTTTTACTATATAGAAATGTCATCCCATGGACGACCACCACAATAAGAATTGTACAATGAGCTATATTAATTGCACTTTGAAGTGTTGTACTATGTCATTACGTGTCAATTGGAGTCTGAATGGCACTCCAAGTGGGTACCACAGACCAACAATGTAATTCTAGAATTATCTTTTCACTATCTTTATTCTAGAATTATCTACCCACAATCTTCATTCTAGAATTATCTCTTTCAAATTCATTTCCCAGAATAAAGATGAATATGGCTTTTGATGGTGATATAGTGGCAGTTGAGCTTTTGCCTCAAGAACAATGGCACGAGGAAAAGTCTTGGCATTAGCTGATGGAGGTTTGTCCACTTAAATGTTTTTAATGAACGTGATTTTCTTTTATCTTGAAAAATTGACCTACTTTTCTTTAAAACTACGCTAAATGGTCTAGATTTATCCTCTATTAACAATTGGATCATCATGATGTGGACTTATTGACCAACTAAAAAATGATTAAAGAGTAATTAGTATCCGATCTAACTTGTGCATCTACAGATTTTATTGAAATTTCTATAAAAACTACTATGTTGTCCTGTTTGTTAACTTAACAGAAATTTGCGCAGACTCTTCACTGTTGATGTCGCATCCATGTTGGATTCTGCAAAATTACAGTACTTTTGACAAATTCGACCCGCACTGACATTTTTTAAGACTCTGAGCAACATAAATTTTGGTAGGATTGAATCAGTTGCAAAAAAGATAGAAAAATACTTATGTAACAATTTTTTTTTAATCTCCTACTCGTGAGAAATATTTAGCGTAGACTACATTAAAAATATGCTTATAAACTGATTGTAAAAGTATAGATCGCAATTTCAAATTAAAAAAATTGACATTTTGCTTCGTAATTGATTTAGTTTTTTTTTTCATGAAAGTTATAATGTTCATGAGAATTTTGATGTATTTCAATTATAATATATTTATGTTATGTATCTAAAGAACATATCGACACTTGATTAAAAGCTTGCAGGATTCACATTGCACCGGCTTTGAAAAATATTAGTATCACTTCACAAACTCCATGAAGAAAACCTTCAATGACCATGATGCTGCATTGAGTAAGTACTTGCTCTTTATCATCTCATGTTGTTCTGATTCTTGATATCAGTATATCATGTATGCTATTCCTTTTTTGCTCTGTTCCTATTCATTTATTTGTTTAATGAGATTCTCTTGATGGTTCTTTAATAAAGGTAACAGAGAGCTCAAGTTAGTTCTTTCTCTTTCAGATTGGATATGCACTGTCGATGTGATAGAAATTTAGCACTTCACTGGTTATATTTTGTATAACAATGGATATATTTCACTATTATGTAGCCATCCTATAATTATTTTCTCTTGTAGTCAAAACTTATGCAATAACTGTCGCCATTCTTTTTGTTGTTTAACTCCTTAGATCCCTAAGGGAAGTGGACGGTTTACTTACACAAATCCAAAGAATAGAGACTTTGTAGAGTCGCAGAATCTGCTTGTTGAATAAGTTATGACCCTCTTTAGATCATTCTGTAATATTCCAGTGGTTAATGACGTCATAACTCCTGCAAAAGTAATAACAATCAAAGACCCTTTTTACATGGTTGATACTTTTAGCTTATAACTAAACAGAACCGGCAAAAGGTGCAACAGTCAAGATATAAAAGAATGGCAGAAAATATCGTTTATTTATAAAATTCTTGATCTTAACATCCTCCCTCTAGACCATTTTCTTTGGTTTCCCCGAACTATTAGTCTATGTGTAAGGCCGAACAGGTTCATCAGGTTTTATGTATGTGCATTTATCGGACACTTTGTGCAATCTTGGCTTAAAATTACATAATATTGAAGTGTTCTTTGGATGCTCAGTTCTCAAGCATATGGTTCTGCAGGTTCAGTTTATGGAATTTATTTTTATAATTTAGTATTACCATCATATTTTACAAGTCCGGATACGTTATTATGGTTTTCCTTTTCTTTTTTAGAAAAAAATCGACTTACTGATCTATAGATTGCTTTTTACGACTTGTTTTGTATGAAGGCAACTACACAAGATTAGAAATGACACTACAAGTGACCTACAAATACATTGATTTATATGCGTTGTTATGGTGATCGAAACATTTTAAAGGAAACAAGATGAGACTTAATATTACATTAAGATTGGTTCAAAAATGTATAATTGTTTACATAGTCTCTTCCTCTATTTAAAATTTGGTAGACTTCTTATATAGAAAATGTCTCATAGAAATTCTAGAGATGCTAAGATTTGGCAGATATTGTCAGATTACTCAATTAGAGCGAGCTAAATTAGACTTGACTAATGCCTAAGTATTTCATTATCTCTGTTTTGTAATATATTTATTGCATTTTGTCAGATCCTATTGTGATAATGAGGAGGAATTATTTCTTAAGAATTGTGTATCATTTTTATTTTTGTGTGATAACATTACTGTATGGTCCTAAGGAATACAAATATTATGCTTCAAAACAATTAATGTGTAACATTATAATGCCATGGTAGAAGGCTAATGAGCTTGAGGTATTGTAAAAGAGTATTTTAAAAGTATGGTATGTATATCGTGAGAATATAGCTATCTATAGAGGTTTTGTGGCCTTACAATAGAGATCTAGAAACACATTTACACACAGATCATTGGTGTTGGAGGTATGTTAGGTTGTGCAGAGCTAAAATTGGAGGTATGTTAGGATCTCTCTTTTGTTAGGTCTTCTCTTCAATGTTGTAGAACATTTATATAAATATAAGGTTCAATTGTAATGGTTTTGATACATTAGTCAATTTTATTGTTTCTTGTTCCATTTTGAAATAAATAGTGTCAACTATAAAAGTCAGCATAAGAGTGTTATAGTTTTATTTCTCTATAATTACTATACCACTACAGTCTATAGAGTCTTTAAGTTTCTTTGCTTGAATGTTTCTCTATACGAAAAATGTACCAAAATAATAAACATTTTTACTTTGTCATAAAAAATAATAAACATTTTTACTTTTATAAGAATACTGATGTCTCACCCTAGAAACACGACGTCTCCAAGATAATTTTTTGTCTCTTTGATTCGAACCTCTATTCATTGTCATTAAATTACAAAATCCTAACTAAAATTTTCATTCTTATATCATTTAACAGTGGTAAATAGTATGAACCATGGGATGATAATATGATGTGTTGGATGGATTTTGCGTTGTGTCTTACCAGCTTTCTGTACAATCTGTTGTTTGAGTATATAAACAAGAACATATTGTTTAAAGTGGAAAAGTCTTACCTTAGATCAGTTCGAAACAGAAAGGCTGCTTAATTTTCTCAAATTAGACTCTTGCATTTTATACTCCTTATTCATCTATATGTAAAAACTTTAACTTTCACATTTTTCTCTATTCCAGGTTACACGAAGACACAACTTGGCAGCGTGTTTGGAAGGAGGAGTTTGATGCTCCGAGGAAGGCAATTATATTAGGCTACAACCCTATTAGACCTTGGATGTCTGTAGCTCACTGGTATGTCATTATAACTAATCTTTTTACTCTGAAAATAGCCATATTTTATACTCCCTCCGTTTCACAAAGAATGACCTGGTTTGACTTGACACAAAGTTTAAGTAAATAAAGAAGACTTTTGAATCTTGTGGTCCTAAATTAAAGTTATATCAAATGTAACAAAATTGCCCTTAATCTTGTGGTCTTAAACATGCCACGTGGAAAGCAAAAAGTAAAATGTTACCAAAAAAGGAAAGAGGTCATTCTTTTTGAAACTGACTAAAAAGGAAAGGAGATCATTTTTTGTGAAACGGAGGGAGTAATTTCTATGGCTTTTTTTTAACAACTTGATTTTTATGTCATTTCAATTCTCGTGACTACTTTTACGATGGTTCATCATACGACACCCCACATACCCTTCAAAACTCCTGATGAGAACATTGTTGCGGAGTACATTACTGCTTCTTTTTTTCCTTTTATTTTTCTGTCTATCTAATCCTTGATCAGTATGAGAATTGATATACTCAGCTAATAATTTAATTTAATCACTTGTAATACCAGAACTTAATATGCAAAAACCAGTATCTTTCTTCATTGTATTTTTTGCATTGTAATATTGATGTACTACATTTAATTGTTTTCAGATGGTCTTCAAAGCATAAAGAAGGAAAAATTACAGATATCCCACATTTTAGTTTACTTATTACCATTATCCCCTATAAGTTTTACAAATTTTCAAAATCCCTCATTTTCGCGCATCAGATTAGTGTATCTCGCGCATCAGATTAATGTATCAATGCTTATATTATTGTATCTCGTGCATCAGATTACTGTATCATGTATAAAATGTACATCAGATTAGTGTATCATGTATAAAATGTAATGTATCTTACTTAACGATTAATGTATCTCGCGCATCAGATTAATGTATCAGCGCTTATATTATTGTATCCGTTTGAGGGATTTCTGTAATTATAAACTTTTAAGGAACAAATTGTAATTTTGCCTTAAAAATATATGATTTATGTAATTTGCCCTAAAAAGAATTTAACTACTTCAAATAAAATGTTGGGCCCGTGATGACACGGGCCATACTTATCTAGTATATATATAAAAGAGGAGAGAGGAGAGAGGGGATTTAATTATGGCTAAAATTAAGTTGCGAGTAGTAATTAATGAAAACTATAGCTATGTCAGCTAATTAACTACTATATGCTTGTTTATCCACGTAATTTCTCCTATTTAAATTTTACGGAATAATTTACGTTGTATCCTATTTTAAACTCGATATTTAGTAAATTAAAAAAACACTAAAAAGTAACATATGCTTTACATTTGAAATTTTGAATTTAAAAGTGGTAGTATGAAGTAATAACCTTAAAAGAAAGAACAAGTAGCTCCACAGCTCGTTCAAAAGAAGATGAATCCGTCCCTATAAATTTGTCAATTCCTAGGCTCGGCCAAAAACATACTTTACATATTAAAACTAAGATGAATTATCTCATTTGTAAAAAAAATAATTCTATGAGATTCGCTTGTCAACTAAACTTCACTGATAAATAGGTTTACATTGTGATTTAAGTTTTATTTCCTATATATAGAGAGGTTATGAATTATGATACTACTCGTAAAGAGCTATATTCCTTTTTTTTTTGAGTAATGAAATCATCCAATAACTTTGAATTCATCGCTTACGGCTAGGATTATTGAGGTATCTAATCCTATTTTCGCTCCCCTAACTTTTATTTCTCAATGTTAGTGTCAGCCCAACATAGTGCTTTCGTTGTTGGTCTTCTTTCACCCTTGTTGCATTCCCAGACAAGTTCCTACAGAGATCTTATTATTCCTGATATTTCAGTTGAATCTGCGAAAAATAGTAGAGTATTAAAATATTGAGAGTAACATTATTCATTTCTACACTATATCACTAAATGATGACTGGATTCCGCTAAACAAAATTATTACTGATATCATCGAATTCTAATCTTCATAGGCGACTAATGATAGAAACTGCATTTTTCATAAATATAGGATAAGTAAATAATCCTGCGATGTAGATCTTTTTACTATTTGACTAATTAGTACATGCAACAAAGTGTCAAGTAAATAATCTAAGATATATGCAATTTGGCTTGAACGCTACCATTATCAATAATATATATATATATGGAGAGTGGATATTCACAATTATTCATTTGGTGACTAAAAAGTAATCATTATATGTTTTTCAGCTGCAAAATTAAAGCAGTCTTTTAAGGCTTTTAAGTCATACTTTGAGGAATAAAGTCCAATATTAAACAATAGATGTTTATTATTACCAAGAAAAAGTCCACAGTTACAACATTTTATTTACATTATTAAATTGGTCAAATTTAACAGGACAGAGCCACGTGGGACAAGTGAGTTCATCAAAATTCTTTTGGACGGAAATTTATATGATATATTTAAAATTACTGCTTTTTTATGTTTATATGTATATATATCGTAGATGTTAATTGCAAATTCTCTTAGCTAAGTTCTCCGTATGTTTGGTTTTTCACATTTTATATTTTTGGGCCAATTTGAAAAGTCATCCTTATAATTAGATTTGATGTAATTGAATATTACATTGTCTTATATATTTGATTGACTTATATAATTACTTAATTAATATGTAATTAAATGTAATTAAATAAAAAAATTACACTCTTTAATTCTCAACGAGGGGTTGTGAATTGCTGATAATTACATGGTGAATTACTAGCTATTACATTTTAATTTATTCTTTTTATCTTTATTTTTATTTTTAAAAAAATTATTTTTAGTTTATTATTTTTATATTTTTATTATTCTAAAAATATATTTTTATTTTATATTAATATTTTATTTCCTTCTCATTCTCAACTTTAACTTCTTCTGCTGATTTTTTGCGATTTTCGTATTATCTATTTTATTTGTTTATTCTATGTTTAATTTTTTTCATTAGCATAATTTTGTCAGTATTCTAATTTTTAAATTGAAGAAAAATTCATTGTTAAATAAAGTTATAGATTTACGTTTTTCTTTTCTTTTAAATCATATTTATGTACGTTATGTTGAAATTTGACATAAGAGTATTATCTTAAATTTTTATTCAAATTTAGAACTTATGTTATATTTTCAATTTCATTTGTTTCAATAATATTGACTTGATATTTCACATTTCAAGTCATTTATTTTTAGTTAGAAATTCACGACACTATGTTTATAACATTAATCTTTTTGTAAACATGTATTTTATGTTCATAGAAATCGTATACTTTTAGTTTTTATTATTAATTTAATTAATATATATTAATTTGAAAAGAACATAAATCATTTTTTTATAATATTAATTAAGAACACGTGTTTGTTGATCAATATATTTTAAAAAGATATTATATATCTTAAATATTTAATTCAATATCATTTATAAATTCTATTGTTTGTTTCATATAAAATTTTAATTTTAGATAATTAACTTTTATTCTTAAAATTTAATATAATTTTATAATTGTAATTGTGTAACCACACAATACATTTGTAATTACATTGTGACAAACTTAACAACATAATAACTAGATTGAAAAATTACTAGACTGATAATTACACTATTCTAATCAACTAGTAATATCATTTTAACTTTCAGTTGTTGCATCAATCATTACATAAGTACATTTCTTTGCTTGTAATAGGTTTAAACCCCACAAATAGTGATTAATAATTAATCTTCCGCGTTTTCTTCACCAATAAGGCAATAACATGGTTTAATTAATTAGAAGAAAATAATTTTGTTATGAGCAATTCTAGTGCTCAATTTTTCGTTTTAAGATATCGTTAGAATCATGACAAATAATGTTCAACAATTACATAATTTTTCAACAGAAAATTGTATCACTTAAAAGTAGATGAAGTGATCAAACAACCTGTTAATTGTGTCAATACTTTCAATGACATAGAATAATGCATCAGAATAAACATAATATATAGCTTGATATAAACATTCAATGCGTAAGATCAGGCAAAAAATACTTTAGACACACTCAACACAAGCAACAAATATATAGCTTAATGTAAACACTCAATGCATATTTTCCGAATCTAGCTATCCATGTCGAAACACAAAAATTTCCACATTGAATAATACTACCTTGAATTTTCACAATGTTGAACCTTTAAGACTTTTAGCATGATCACTATCACAAGTTTAATCTTACGATATCGAATTCATATAAAAATAATTATTTCAATATAGAACATAGCATCATGCTTAAGAATTTATTAAAACTACACCAAATAATAGATATATTTTGTAGTTTAATGTATAAACATCAATAGATTCAACAATAATCATGAGTACTATTTATTAATAAACAACCATAATTGAATTATTCTCTCCTTCTCTAGTGATATTAAGCATCTTTTTCATCATTTTAATGTAAAAGAAGGATTCAATTAATCCGGATTCACATGAAATAAATTTCATAAAAAGAGAAAACACTCTCTATTAAAATCTTTTCTCAAATCTAATTGTTACTCCCTCTGTCCCAATTTATATGACTTACTTTCCTTTTTAGTCAGTCCCAAAAAGAATGACACATTTCTATTTTAAGTAACAATTTGCCTATAAAATGTCTTTTTTACCCTTAATGAAATGATTTACAACCACACAAATTTCTATCATTCATTTTGGACCACAAGTTTTAAAAGTCTTTCCATTTTTCTTAAAGTTTGTGCCAAATCAAAGTACATCATATAAAATGGGACGGAGGGAGTATTTGATTAATATTGAAATGAAACTATCCATTTCATCGAAACCCGATCTATATGAGAATAAAGGAGAAATGAAGAAGAAATCATGCATATGATCATGCAAATATACATATAGAAAACTTACAACAAAAGGTACAAAAATCACTAAACAAAAACATTACATATACCTAATTAAACACACTATAAATTCAAAATACTCAAAAACAAAAAACATTATAAATATTATCATTTCAACTTTTTCTCTTCTTTAATTTCCATATCAATTTTTTTTTTCTATTTTTCATATTCTAAGAAGAAAAATACTGAGTTCAGGTCCTCCATTACCATCCGGATTCATCATATAAAAAGCTTCCGAGTCACGACTCCCTACAACTCGTTCAAATTTCGCTCTCATATACAACAACTCACCTTCCGCCGCACTAATTTTCCGGCCATCATCCACCACCGGAATTACTCCGGCGCCGACGGAAACACTCTGCACCGTACTCAACACATGCCAATCGGAATCCGTACATAACCTCGATGTTGCATACCCACATTTCCTCCCGTTACAATACATCGTCCACATCGGCTCTTCAAATAGCCCTAATCTCTTCCGGCTACCTCCCGGCGCCGCTGTTTTCTCACATTCTAACGCAATTCTGACCAATCCCGACGACATCTCTTTCACTAACGACGACGTAGAAACTGCGAGCTCGATTAGTAAAACCGGGTCGGATTTCGGATCGTCTTGTACGGCGAAGCTGACATGGCCTCTCCGGTGACCGAATAAAGTTCCGGTGACTTTCCGGCCGAGGGATGGGGTAATTGAGAACTGATTCGGGAGATTTAGCCATCGGCAAGTTGGGAGTACTGAAGGGAATGAGATGATGCTGATGAGTGATCGGAGGAGAGATGAAACTCCGATTCGAGTTTTGGTTAATCGATTGAAATTGTTCGAAGAAGACGATGATGAGCTTCCGTTGTTAGGAAGAACGAGAGATTTGTCAGTTGAATAATCACGGGTTGCTGAAGAGTAAGACCGCGAATAAGTATTGTTATTTGCAGGTATGATTTTTTTCGAGCTTTTGCAGCTGCTTGTTCGCGGAAGAGCAGCAAATGGTTGTTGTTGTTGTTGTGCTTGTCTCATTGTATGAAGAAAACTAACAAACAAACAAATTAACTAAAAAAAAATGAGACAAAATTGGAATAGTCTATTGGCTTTGTAGGTAGTGATAAAAAAAGGAAAAGATTTTGATTCTATAATTGAAGAACCAAGAAAATGGGAGTAGTAGTAGTAACTTGTGTTTTACTACTACTCCAAATAAAATAAATAGGGTGGGGTGGGGTATAGGGTGAGTACTCAACTCTCAAGAAAAGGAGAGAAGTTTTTGAGGTATTTTGGTGAGTGAAAAAGAGATTGTTATGAGCATGTGTATTTTAGCTATGATCAAAGGCCAAGGTACTAAGAAAAGGGCAAAAAGAAATAAGGAAAGTAAATATGATGTTATAAGGGTTAGGTGGGGTGGTTCTTTTCCCTTTTTCCTAATTTCTTTTTTTTGTTAAACCAGGAATAATCAATTGAGAATTGAATTCACACTTACGATAAGTAGAAGACTTCAGTACTGATATTATCAAGCTGCACATGTATGTATTGGAGGTGGCTTTAATCACTAGAAGCAAAACGAGTTTTAGAGTTGGAAGTGATTTTGCTCACAAGAAGCAAAATAAAAGGAAAGAAAACAGTAAGAATTGAACTCACGTCAATTTCATCAATATAACTAAGATATGATACTTAGTGGTTAGATGAATTAGCTCATAACAAACACAAGGAAATAGTGAGGAGTATTTTGATCCTATTTTGCTATGGAAAAGGCAAAGTGGAAAAGTATAAGGGATTTTGGTATCAAATATCAAGAAGGGGACAAGGTTATGATGAGTGTTTTGAAGGTGGCTAAGAAAAATAAAGAAAAAAATACTATAGAATTTTGTGAAATGATTGTGATCATTTCTTTGCATTCATGCCCTCCCCTATTTATATACAAAAAACATATTAATAAAATTATATACAATTTTTTATTTTCTTTTAAATTAAAGTGATAAAAAAGGGATGATATAGTGGTCCTGCAGAGCATGATAAAAGAATACACGTGCAGCCGTTGTTTTTATTAAGCGTGATTTTGATATTAATGGATCTTGAATGAAGAATGGACGGTCAGGATTGGCTGATGAAGAATAAATGTTGATGTTTCTTTTAAAAATTAAAAATATATTTATAACCGTCTGACATTTGAACTGGTCTAACTAATTCGGATTTATGTCATGGAAATCTAACACCAAGCAAGCGTGAGATAGTAGAGATGCATCACTGAAAAATAATATGAATGCCGACAAGTAAATTCTATAGTTAATTAACGTGATTTATCAGTCCTTGTTATTTTTTATTTAATAATAAATTAATGTAAAATTATATTGAAAAAATATATATGTAACTATAGCTACCACTTCCAACAATGACCAAAATACGATAATAGTGACTTATTAGTTACTTGTTTTGATTTAAAAGAAAGACGAAAAATTTGACAACAAGTATATAACTTTTTATCGTTGTTGCGAGTTTGGCAACAATTGCAAATAATTTTCTTTAGTCATTGTTGCAAGTATTTCAAACTTTGTAGTTATTTAAGTATCAAAGTATTCTTTTTAGTTTTGGTTTTACAATAAGGATATTTTCTAAAAACTATTGATCACACAAGTAGGGTTTTGAATAACACAATCTTTTGATATATTTTTTTGGATTAAACATTTAAAATATGTTTTTTTTTAAAGAAAAAAATGTATATAGGATATTCATGCAACACATATGGACGACACAAACAAACACGTCTCTTATTATATAAGATCATATAATTAATACTTTACAATATCTTGGCCAACCATTATTGCAAATTAAATATCAAATGACTACTTTACAATTTCATAGTGGTGATCTGGTTGTGATATGAAGTTGATTTTTAACGTTTTTTTATGAAGTACTACAATTGTTTGGTGTCTCACTCTATGTTTGATATTGATATCGATTGCCTCGAGTAATTTGAATTTGTGTTTCGTAAAGCTTATTAAAGAAAAAGTGCTTCCCTTTAAAAGATTATGTATTATGAGTCTTACGATGAATTTGATTGCAGGTTCAGTGATAATGAAAAGGTAATTCATTAGGGAGATGATAGAATTCATAAAGATTATTCAACGTGCTCTGCATGCTATTTTAACTTAAAAAACCACCATACTGGGAATCAAAACTTGGCCATAGCACATGTAATATATAACTTTGAGCATGCACAAACAACCACTACATCAAGCAACTGCTTGTTGCCCAGGTGCTCACTAGGGTGTTCGTGGTTCAAATCGAAATCAAACCAATCTAGTCGGTTTTTAAATTTCTAAAACCAAATAAAACCAAACAAAAAAATAACCGTTGGTTTGGTTCGATTTTTCTGATTTTTCGGTTTGAGAGTAATAAATTTTTTTGTGGACATACATATCTTGACAGACACAAACACCTAGTACATGAACAATCCATAGGAAAGTTATTGTGGTTCAATTAAGCAATTAAGTAATACTAGAGTTATTATTACACGAATAAAGTGATTCAATTAAGAGAAAGTGTGACTATCTTATGTGAGGTAAGGTAGGTAAAAACTAAAGTACTGGATTTTGATGGATTTGGACTTGGGGTTGAATAGTTGGGCCAAAATTTAAGTGTTAGGCTTGAGAAAATGGTAAACTTAAAGACTTAAGTTAATTAAAATTTAACAAATATTTGTATTTTATTTATGAGTAATATATAAATAATTATAAATTTTATATATCTAATTTCTCGATTCGGTTTGGTTATTTTTTTAGTTTGTTTTTAGTAAAATCAAAACCAAATCAAATAGTATCGATTTTCAAGATTTTGAAAACCTAACCTAACCAAACCAAACCAAATATCAGTTTTTTTAATCGGTTTGATTCGGATTACAGTTCAGTTAGTTTTTTTTTTAACCATACCCATAAACAACCCTAATGTTCACTGTTTAATTTTATACCATCTTTCATATTTTTATATAAATATATATAGTTTGATACGAAATTAGTGGGTGCCCGAGCACCCGGAGCCTTCAATGTGGATCCGCCCCTGGATGCAACGTAACCTCATTATGTATTATTTTTTTACGTAAACTACATATTTATGTGTAATAATTCTCCAAGATTGCATCATAGTAGATTTGAATCCATAATTTTAAAAATATAATAAGTTTAAGCTAATTAAACCATAACCGTAAATCTAAATTTTAAATCTATCTTTTCACCTAAACTTCAAAAGTCGAAAACTTCTAATTAAAGATAAAGTGATTATATCCCTTTCATCACAACTCTTTGTGATCAGTACGACAATTAAGTTGATACTAGTTAAATTAAAATTATTATACAAGACAAAACTTAAAATTTTAAATTTTATCTTTTTGGGACGGTTCCAAACAAAGCATTATTATTTGGGGTGATTTGGCTGATCGGATTGGTGGCCTAACCTCAATTGAACGGTCAGGATTAAAAGTTGACCTCCTCTAAACTTGACACGTTGACTCTTTAATTACCAATCAAAAATTAATTAATTTTATTTTCCATAAGCATGTGACATCTACCTTTGCATCACTATCTTTGTTTCCATCTCTCTCTATATATAATATAAATAATATTAGAAGATATAATATTTTTATGTATCCAAAGGAATTTTTACATTCAATATATATAAACTAAATAGAAATTAGCGACAGATAACTTTTATCATTAAACATAAAAAACCTATGTCAATCTTATTTAGCGTTAGATTATGAAACAATTACTTTTGAAAAATAAGTCAAGAAACTTGTTATAATGTTTTAAATCACATTGATAGTATAAGAATTTACACTTTTAAAATATATAAAAATTTATTTTGGAATAATTTTAAAATTTCTATGGAAATTATCTTGAAAGATTAAATCAAAACTACTTAATTAGCTTCGTGCGGCATTTGTACTTAAAATGGACTTTTAGGATGAACTAGTTGTTTAATTAATTAATTTTTTTATATTAATTTTTTTAGATTTATCATTATTATTAAGATTGTTGAGATTTTGGTATATCTACTAAACTACTTAAAGGCTTAAAAGAAAAATTAATGTATATTTTTTGCCTTCTGCATAACATATTCACGAAATTCTAATTTAAGTTTTTTGTTACTTTCTTAGTTCGAGATCAGATTCATACACTACTAAAAATAATGTAAATATTCAATAAATATTTTCATCAAAATGTCATTGAAAATATTTTCGACAAGTCAAATTTCAATGAAATCAGATTTTTTTTTAAGTAATGACACTTGGTGATTTTAATAATTTGTGATTTCAATTGATTTTGAAAGGAAAAATAAAAAGGTTATGTAAAGGAAAAGTAGAACAATTGGTCCATTTTTGGACATAATTTTGTTCCTTCACTTTTATACTTTTTGTTTGTTCCACATTTTAAATATATGTTAAACACACAAAGTTATAACACAATCATTAGGATATTCTGATCCACATATTATGTTTGTCCAATTTTATAATTTTTAAAGATAAAATTATTATTATCTTGAACAAAAAAAAGTTATTTGCTTGTAAAATATATTCGACAAATAATGATTCAAATGATATTTCATATTTTTGAACAAGAAAACAGTTAATTTCTATTTTGATGGCAAGTGTAACTAATATGCCATTAAGAATATCATTTTCAACGAATCCATAAAAGTGATTATATCTTTATCATCAAGTTCGAATAAAGATAAAAAATCTTGAATAGATCTATCCAGCTAAATAACTCAAAAAATAAATTGTCATATTTTATATATGAGAAGTTTTATATTTAATTTTTGTAATAGAAAAAATATGTGGTCCAAAAAAAAGTGTGATTAAGTTAATTCCATATAATAATAAATAAAATTTCGATTTATTTGTATTGATATACCATATGATTATTTTTTTTAAAAAAAAAATAGAGAACTATTAGAAAGTAGGCATGCAACCATTATAAGAGAATTATTATTAAATTAGTGAATAATTGTATTGAACCCTTCGTCATTTGAGTGACTAATCAAAGTAATGATTAGACTAATGCATGCTAATAATACTTAATTTAGAAAATAATTAGTTAACTAAAGAATGCTGTGTACATAAAAAGAAAGGGTAACCACAAAAATAAAATTGTTTATTGGATGTTAATATTTTCTAAAAAATATTTTAAGAAAATACAAGGTCAATCTTATATGATAACATGTGACATTGGTAACATTAAAATTCATAATACTTAAACCATCTAAAGATGATATAAATTGTGGTTTAGTTGATACGGATGACATAGATTTTGATTTGAAATCCAAAATTATTTATTAAGTTTCATATTCATTATAATTTAATTATTCGATATTTAAAGCATGATCAAAATTTGCTTCAAATAGACTTATGAAGGGAACAACCCACTCCATACTAAGAAGTTGTTCATTTTCAATACTGAATAAGTCACCTTAAATATTTGAATCTTATTATGAAAAAGATCTTAATAGAAAGTATTTTTTTTTATTTAATAGGCTTTCCACGACACAAATTCTGATCATTTTAAGTCTCAATACAATATATATCATCGAGTGAAGACAAAAAACAAGTGAAACATTGCACAACCACAATGATAATATCAAACATAGAAAAAATTGAAAAAAGAAGATCAATTTTAAATTTCAGTTCTTCTTGATAAAATCAAAAGAAGAATCCAACTTTTGCAGCATGTTTTAGTCTAACATTCGACTTTATTCCAACTTAGCTTTAACCAAGCTAATAAGCAAAGATTAATGTAAAAACTAAAGAGAGTCTTTATTTCAAATTGTGAAAGAGTAATATAATTCACTCAATGATCATA